TGTGACCTTGCTTTTGCCCTTTATTCGACGTTTGCTAAACTTACATAAGAAGATGGGTTACACCTACTGGTCCTTCCCCGACGGCCGTCAACCACTTAAATTGGACGTCAGCACTGTTTCCTCTGGCAGGCCTTCTCTGCTGTTCAGTCAGATTCTCTCCCCGCCCACTCCGCCCACGTTTTTTCGCCTTTTTATTTTTGTCTAACGTTCACAATCTCGCTCCTACTGGCGACAAAACACTGAATGGGTACTAAGAATAGCTCCCAACCGTATAATTGGACCCGTCTGGAAGGAGTGGATTACTGAATTGGAGTTTGCGTGATAGTCGTGTTTTTTTACTGAGGCAGCCTCACCCCCATTCACGTTTGCGCCCTCCTTATAATCGTCTACTTCACACCTTTTATGGATTACTTTCCGAGGGTTATTCGCTTTTTATCCGCTCTTGATGATAGCAGACCCGCTGACTAATTCGTCCTCAGGACCTGTTTGACTTGCGCTTCTGCTACTCAAACAATCGGGCTTTTACTCTCTTTTCTATCTCTCCATAGCTTAACCAAGCTTTTGAGATGCACGAGGCGCCACAGGATGTTCAAGCTCTTTACTCCTCAATGGCTGAGAACATGGCAATGGCCGCCGAGTTTCACGACTGCAGCACCTGTTCTCGCTACCCATACCACCATCGGCATTGGGAGAACCAGGAATTTTCGGACTACTCCCTTACCCGCGACTTAACCAGCGATCTGGTCGATGACCACGCACTGGATGGCTGCGAGTTTTGGGCCCCCGCACCCTCCTCACAGCATCTGGCGACCCCCACTGGCACCGAAAAGAACACCCTTGCCAAACAAATGGGTATTACTGACATGGAACTCTGGGAGGTGGGTCATTTTGATGCCGACCAGTGGGCGGAGGAATTCAATAGACTGATGTCAGAAACACCGGACATCATCTCCTTTCAACCACTATCAAATGCTGAGTGTGCGGCCGACGCTGTGGCAGGTGC